GGTACGGATCTATGGCAGCTTCAGTCCAAGGTTATGACCGCTCTCTCTTCATCTAGTGCTGTCCATTATAGCAGTGTGCATTTCCCCATGACAGCTCGCTCGCCCGCTCTCTCTCTCTCTCTCTCCTCCAGTTTTCTGTGTGTGTGTGTGTGTGTGTGTGTGTGTGTGTGTGTGTGTGTGCCGCTGTTGGCTGGCCTTGTGTTACACCAACATTACTATCTGCTCTACCTCAACTACAAATTGCCTGAACGGCCCCTGACACTTTTTCAATATCATTACATTAAACCAAGTGGAGTTTGATTGATAACCTAATATTGGCCTAATGCAAAACATCAATCACTGCAAGTATATTAATTATTTAATATCGCAGTCTAATTCAGAAATCGATGCGACCCTGTCGACGGCACAGGAGGAAAGGAGGGATGGAGGGAGGGATAGAAGAATCAGAGCTCCCCGCAGACCTGCGGGAAAACACGATGATGGTTGTTGAGCGCAAAGAGGCGGAGGGGGGGGATAAAGGAGAGAAGTGGAAAAAAATGAAAAGGTGACGATGTACTTCTCTCAGTGTGCCGGTTCGATACAAATCTGTATTCATTTGCCAATAATCTCTCCCTATTTTTCCGCTCAGCCGCGGCCTGATCTGGTTTGAAGGGCCTAATTGAATTAGGGCCGCTTTCGGCACAGAGGTGGGCCTGCGGGGTGAGAGAGAGAGAGAGAGAGAGAGAGAAGAGAGAGAGAGAGAGAGAGAGAGAGAGAGAGAGAGAGAGAAAGAGAGAGAGAGTAACGAGAAAGAAAGCGAGAGAGAGTCAGAAGATGAAGAGAGAAACGAGAGGGAGGGAGAGAAAGGAGAAAAAGAGATGGGGAGAGAAGGAGAAAAGAGTAAGAGAGAGTCAGGATAGAGAAAGAGAGATATGAGAAATAAGGAGAGAAAGGAGAAAAAGATAGGTAGAGCAATAAAAGAGAGAACGAGAAAAAGATGGAGAGAAGAGAGCATAGAGAGAGAGAGGGGAGGAGAAGGAAAGAGAGAGAGTCAGAGAATGGAGAGAGTGATAAGGAGAGAAAGAGAGATGGGGAGAGAGAGAGAAAGGAGCAAGAAAGAAAGTCAGGACAGAGAGAAAGGAGAAAAAGAGGGAGAGACAGGGAGAAAGGAGAAGAAAAAGAGTAAGATGGGGAGAGCAGTAAAAGAGAGAGAGAAAGATGGAAAGAAGAGAGCAGAGAGAAAGAAGAGGGAAAGAGAAAAGGTCAGATGAAGGAGAGAGAGAAAGGAGAAAGAGAGATGGGGAGAGAGGGAGAAAAGAGCGAGAAAGAAAGAAATGAGAAGCGGGGAGAGAAAGCAGAAAAAGAGATGGGAAAGGAGAAAAAGAAAAAGACGTAGGGAGAGCTATAAAAGAGAGAAAAAGATGGAGAGAAGAGAGCAGAGAGAGAAGCAAGACAGGGAAGGAGTGGGAGAGTGGGAGAAAGAAGTGAGAAAGAGAAGGATAGGGAGAGCAAAAAAGAGAGAAAGAAAGATGGAGAGAAGAGAGTGATCCAGAACTGACCATCCAACATCAGTACCTGACCTCACTAATGCTCTATCAAATCCTCACAGCAATGTTCCAACTTCTAGAGTAAAGCCTTCCCAGAAGAGTAGAAGCTGTTACTGCAGCACAAACTCACTATTAACACCTTCATTTCGGGAGGAGCTCAGGAGGAGCTGCTGTCTACTCAGTCCTGGAGGTGCAGTGTGTGTTGGGCTGATTGTTATGATGATGTTCTATGGCTGCCTGTTTAATCTGAACTGCTAAATAGTTCCATTTTTTGTAGAACCTCACTTTCTCAGGCTGTGGTGTAATAGCTGGAGGTGTGTTGCAGGAGAGATGGAGAGAGGGATTGATCCGCAGAGAGAGAGAGAGAGAGAGAGAGGTGGGCGAGCAGGGTTTCACTGTGTCCATGATTACTGAATGTAATTTTAGAGATGGTGTAGATTTTCATTGTGATGCTGCTACATCAGAGCTGTAGTCTGTCGATAAGTCTCTCTCTTTCTCTCTCTCTCGCTCTCTTTCTCTCTTTCTTTCTCTCCCTCTCCCTCTCCCTCTCTCTCGCTCTCTCACTCTCGCTCTCGCTCTGGCTCTGGCTCTGGCTCTCTCTCTCTCTCTCTCTCTCTCTCCTCTCTCTCTCTCTCTCTCTCTCTCGCTCTCTCTGCTGCTTCTCTGCTTATTTCTCACTCTCTTTTCCTCCCTCTCTTCTCTTTCTCTTTTTATCTTGCATTTTCCGCTCTTTCCTTTTCTCCTCTCTCTCTCTAGCTAACTCTGCCTCTCATTTTCTTCTCCCCTTTTCCTCTTTTTTCTCTCCCTCTCTCCTCTTTCTCATTGTTTTCCTATCTCTTCTCTTTCTCTTCTTGTCCTCGCTCTTTTCCTGTTCTCTTTTTCCTTTTTCTTCCTTTCTCTTTTTCTCTCCCTCTCTCTCTTTCTCTCTTTCTCATTTTCTTCTCCCCATGTCCTCTCACACTCTCTCCTCTTTTCCTCCCTTTCTTCTCTCTTTCTCTCTCTTTATCTTGCATTTTTTCTCTCTCCTTTTTGTTTTCCTGTTTTCTCTCTCTCTCTTTTCCTGTGTTCTTTCTCTCTTCTTCCTCTTTTCCTCTTTTCCTCCCTCTGTTGTCTCTCTCTTTCTCTGTCTTTATCTTGCATTTTCTCTCTATCCTTTTCCTCTCTCTCTCTCCTCTTTCTGTTTTCCTCTCCTTTTTCACTCTCCTTTTGTGCTTGTTTTCCTCTCTCGTCTTTCTCTCCTTTTTTCTTATCTCTCTCTAGCTCACTCTCGCTCTCATTTTGTTCTCCCCTTTTCCTCTCTCTTTTTCTCTCACTCTCTCTCTCTCTCTGTATATCTGTGTATATTTTATAGTGCTTCCTCTCGATCTTTCTTTTTTCTCTTTTTTTTTCCTTTTTTCTCTTTCACTCTCCGTTTTCCTCTCCTCTTCTCTCTCTCTCTCTCTCTCTCTCTCTCTCTCTCTCTCTCTCTCTCTCTCTGTATATCTGTGTATATTTTATTGTGCTTCCTCTGATCTTTGTGTTTGCTCTGCTACAATTTTGAAATGTGCCAAACTGCATCTATTATTTACTGCCAATTTGCTCTTTTAATCTAAACGCGGCCCCCTCTCCACGCCGGGCCGCTGCACTGATTATCCTAATACATGCACGATTAATATTTAGCAGAATCGTGCTGTTTATGGGGGGCAGTCCATGTTGTGGCGATAACGGGGGATTATCTGGGTTTCACTCACGCTTTTCAGTCACAGACATCAGTCCTGAATTATGTGTCTAATCTTGTGTGCCTAATTAATAAGGGCTATAATTTAATGTGGTATATCTTCACCATGTATCATTGTCTCTGTGTATTAATACTGTGTAATGCCATAGATAGTATTCATAACAGAGAACTACAAATGGCCAACAGATTGTCACTGTCAGGACTTCTTAATTGTTTTCTGTTTTTATTTATTTATTTATTTTTGTACATAATTTGAAAATGGCATCAGCCTTTTACGTTAAATGTAAGTTCCGTTAAAAGTGGGCCAATAGAAATAATACAAAAGTACTTAATTGCATATTTTTACAGGATATTTTTCCTTCCCTGTCAAGGTACCATTTTTACTGATACAAGGTTTTCCCCCAACTTATAATGCCATATTAAATATTAGTTACTGCTGCACTATGTATGATTTGGGGATTTGGAGACCTCTCTGGTGGGAATGTGTAACTACACACAACAGGCTGAAGAATGTATTGTAGCCTAAGTTGTGCTTTAGTTCTCTTCCCTGAGTGGATGAATCTGAATTGTCATCACATCGTCATCAGTATAATGTTGATTTTGAGATCATATGAGGCCTAAACATTGAGCCGGACCTTCTTTCAGAGCCTGTGCGTGTGACATTAATACATAAAGACGTACGACGTGGTGTGAAAAACTCCTGACTCAACGACTCTGACTTCTAAGTGACTGTTTCAGACTTTAAAGGCGACTCACAGCAGCTCACACTCACCACATTTTAGCCTGATTTCATTCTCTTCACTCAGTAATGATGCCTCTTTCAATTTTAACACAAAACAAATTAATTTCTCCACCTTTACATAGAGCCATACAGCAGAACCCATGCCAGCGTGTGTTTTTGTTCTCCTCCAGCTTCCACAGCATTTATTACCTGGACTAGAACAATAACAAGGTCTGGCTCAAGGTCTCTCAAAGCCACCTGGAACGCTTCTGATTACTTTTTATAGTGTTTGGGGATGGAGACTCTCCCATTTCCAGAGATCAGTGAAAAACAGTGAAAATAATAATTATTATGTTATTAGGTATATTGTTTTTATTTTTGTTGTTATTTTTTTGTTATGAAAAGCTGTGTGAATTTGTTTTGACCACACAAATCAAGGCTTGTACCTTCTGGAAGTCTCTCACAGGTCTGGAAGTTTGCAGTTGTTTGCAGGGGGGGCCTACAAAAGCATCAACATTCACTACAGCTGAACGGAAGCAGCTAATAAATTCATTCACTCATTGACACTTGTTACTTTTCTCAGGTAAACCCGTCCAACTGCAGTTGTTACAGATGTGTTGGACTACATATGTGGTATATTTACTGGGTTGGAACAGATCAAAGAGCCCACGTACGCTGGCAGATAGGACGCAGTCGTAGCTTTTACCACAGAGGAACACTTTGAACTCCTATATACACACCAATCATTATTCCAGTACACGCATGGAGAGCGGCGCAGAAGACCTTCTCGATTGTTTGTTCCTCTCTTCCACTTTGGCGGAGGAAGAAAGGCCCCCCCTTTTTCGTTTGAAACACTGTCATGAAAAAGTGAGAGAGTAAAATGAATAAATAGCCCCTTAATAAATAGCAATTACGGGGCGATCCACGAGAGAGGGATCCATCGGGGTGGGGAGGGGGTGAGTCGGGGGGGCGTCGGGGGAAGCGATTAGTGACACGGCTTTATTTACAGTGGAGGAAATTTGTTCTTCTGTTGCAGGGACGTGGGGAACATCAAAGCCGGATTAGAACATCTGGTAAGTTCTCAATTTCCCCCCCTTCGTGTTTGTGGCATCTTTGATATCTGCATCCGAAATGAATGCACGGCAATGGGCTTTGAATACCTTGTGTTGACAGATAGAGAGAGAGTCCACTTTTTTTCCTCCCTGTGTCTCTCTCTCTGCCTCTCTTTCTCTGCTTCTCTCTCACTTTCTCTCCTCTCCCACAGGGCCTGGCTGGGCTTTCATATCACTCAGGCACTTACTCTTTCATTTATCCAACCTTTCTCTCGGTTTCTCTGGGATTTTTTTCTTTTTTTCTGTGTAAAGTCTCTTTTTTTAATGTTGGGATGCACTGAGAAGCAGTAGAGTGGGTCAAACAGACATAACTGTCCAGACAAATTCTCTCTACCTAATATATGTGCGCTACCACACAGTTATATCCAACTGATCTTGAGTGCGTTGGACTTCTAACAATGTTAGGGACTGATCGCAGCTGCCTTTCTTCGCCATCGTCCTCCTTTTCCTCTACTTTTCCCCCCCCCGCTCTCTCCGGAGGCAGGGCGAGGCCCGCCATTGCCCCTCAGAAAAAAGACCCCTGGGAGTGTTTAAAAATGTATCGTCCAACATTTCCTGGGTTTTCTGCTCTCCTTCTAATACGGGGGTCAGAGTAGCATGCACCGGAGTTAAAAGGGGCCCTTTTCTTCTCCCAGGGCAGAACCGAGTTTCACAGCTTTTTTTCCGGGGGATGAATAATGGAGAGGGGTCACAGCGGGTCCTGGCTCTCTGGATGTACAGTCACCTCCCTGAGCTTTTACCATGCCACACCCTGCATATTAACCAGGGGCCGGGCCCTTGAAGGGCCACGCTACGCAAATGACCCATAATGCCACATTTAAAGACCCCCCCTCATATTCAGCCATATAGTCATATATTCCTGCTGTTCATCCCTTAAGCTCACTCTGTTTCACGACGGTCAGCGACTGTGCCGTCGAGCGCTTCAGCACGAATCCATATGTCCAGGAATTCAATTGGATTTATAGATATTTATAAGATATATATAAGATAGATAAAGCCATAAAGCCATGCAGTAGAATCCTGAATTAATGTGCCAAGTAATTTAAATCCATTATGTTGCTTGGCAACCATAGCCTACATTTCTTGGCAGAATACTTATTTATTACATGTGATTATTATTATTATTATCAATAATTAAGGCTGTCAGAGTTCATTTTTTTTAAAGCTGTTAACACTTTTGCTTAGTTTGACCCTTCAGCCCATCTGTAATGTAGGCTGAAGCCCAGCTGCATTGCACTGTATGTTGCTTTAATAGAATCCTCAGTTGTCGCTCTAATATTCAAATGCAGCTTTTAAATGGATTTTAAAACGATACCTTCGACAGACTATGCTGTGCAGTGTTCGCAAAAGAACTGTGGGTGAACGTAAGATGAAAAAAATATTATTGAAAGTCATAAATATATTCTGTCGAAGCTTATTTTATCCACTCATAGCTAAAACAAAATGCTTTGTCTTTTAAATGGAAATCTTTCTTTAGGGTCTAATTGAATCAAATAAGACAAATGATTAATCATGGTTAATTATTTGACTTATTTGACAGCCCTGTTAAAAATAAACTAAAGTATTTATTAAACACTTGTGTATTTTATCGTACTGCATTTTGTTCCCGTTTTATAAAACACTTTTCATAATGCCTAACAACACTTCTGTACTGTGACAAAATTAATGTAATGACTGATTGCTTTATTTGGAGGATGGAAGAACTCTTCCTCTGCTACTTTAGCGTTCTAGGCTACAGAAATCAACTAAGCTGGCTAAATATCAAGCCACAAGTTAATGCGCATACCAAGGTAATGTTTTTTTAGGTGGACTTCAGGAATTATTAAAATGCCTGTTTTAAATGATTCTGTGCAGCAGTCCACACTTCTTCAAACCTTTCTCCTCAGCATCTGACTCTGCACTGTAGACAAAGAATGGGACGCCCCCCTGTGAAAGCTGAAACATGACTGGCCCTTATGTTTTTTCCTGTGAAGCATGATCATTTTTTTTTATTGGTTTATGATTTCATTCCAAGGGAAAATAGAAAGGTTGCAGATTTTATTCCCTTTTCAGTTTGCCTAGAGGTGCCAAATAGTTACAGCTTTTGTTACAGTTACAGTTTTTGTCATTTTTCTATTTGAGAATATTTTTCTATTTGAGAAAATTTAAGAATACATGTGTCAAAATTGACCTGATGACCAATAGAAGTGGTTTAAAATGGCTTGGAACAAAATATTGTAACTTACATTGAAAGAGCGCTTTTTACTTTTCCAGTAAAGTTACTTTTTTGGAGATACTTTGTCGTTCATACCAAATACGAGTATACAGTGTATTGAAACAACACTCCTCCGGTAACATGCAGTGTATGCTGGACAGGGCTTTAGTCTTTACAGTACATTACAGTCAACACACAAAATTATGCTCAAACCCATCAAAAAATACAGTACATAAAGAGGACAGCATGAGAATGAGTTTGCATTTCACAGTTAGGGGTGAAGATATGAAGGGATGAAGGTGGGGAAAGGTAAAACGAAGGTGAACGAGTGGAAACGAGGGGAGGGAGAGAGATGAAAGTAGCGAGAGAGGGAGAAAGAGTGCATGGTTATGGGAGGATGCATTGATTTACAACTCTATAAAAGGCAGAGTGAATTATTGAAAAGAAGATTACATGCATAAACAGCAGGAATCAATATGTCTCTTTGCACTTTTGAAGTTTGCCTCTGCACTCCAGCTCTCTAATGCACCAGAGAGCAAACAGGGGCACTTGCTCAGGCTGAACACCTCGCAGAGTTTGTTCCACTCCAGAACTGTAGTCAGATCCAAAACATGGCATTCATGAATGCCGCTGTTTTTTAAGTATTTGCATTATATATTGCATTAGTATTTGCAATAACAGCATTAGCGTGCTGTATATTGCCCTGATAGAATTTGCGATTGTAGTCCTATAGAAAACAGCTTTTAAATAGCCACTTTACATGCCGCCTAATGATCCGTTAATAATCCGACTAATAGCTCAATCGGAATACAATACATCCATGCATACACCTCAGTCGGAATAGACTAGTCTGATTGAGGCCATTCAGAATACAGTTTCTATCCAACTGATCGAGGTGGACAGTCCTGTAAATAGTCAGTTGATTAGAAGAATAATAGTCATGTAAACGCCTGTATCTGATTACATTCCCTAATCTGAAAGTTTAAGTCCGTTCTGATCATGTTTGTCGCATTATAGTGAAAGTTTATAACATCCAACATGGCGGAGCAGAAACTGATCTGCAGAGGAGACAAAGTTTATGCTCTGATCTTTAAAAGACGGCGGTGGGACGGACGTCCAGCTTATGTGTCTCAGAACATGACGTCTTCCTCTCGGCCTTCTTTAATAAGGACATGCGAAGGACGTTTTCCTGAGTCTGACATCATTTTGAAGCAATTAAAAACACAAGCACTGCTCACTGCTCCTCGTCTCACTCTGACTGGACTCGTGATGCTGGTTGTCATGGTAACGCCTACACAAAGTGGTTCTACACATGCACGTGATTTTGGATCGAATTACTTGTAGTGAGCATGTAAACAGAGATTTTCATCAGATTGTTGAGTAGAGTGTGATATAAACACCTCAGTCTTAATCTATAATCAGAATTAATTATATCGAATTGGCAAAAATCTTTGCATGTAAATATAGCTTCTGTAAATAGGGCTCCTAACAACCACCTGGAAGACCTGGTAGATAGACACCAAAACTGTCCCCATCAGATAAACAGAACTTAAAGCTTTCATCTTTGAGAGAGAGGAGAAAATCAATCTGCTTCAGATCTGAAAACATCCACAGGTGTTTCTGTCCATCCTTCCACTGTGAGAAGACGACTCAGCGCTATGGGTCTGAAAGGATGTGTAGCTGTCAAGAAGAGCCTCACTGAGAGAAGGAGACGGACACATCAAACGAAGACGCTGAACAATGGACTGACCACCCCAGAGTCCAGACCTCAACACCACTGAATGGGTTTGATTACTTCAGAAAATGATCAACCAGCTTCTAAGACTGAACTTTGGAGGTGTGTCTGCAGATTCTTTGAGGAACTGAAAGTGAATCTCCTGAAATGTTTTCTGAATGCTGACAGAGAAATAACTGGCAGTTAAATTAATGACTGTTGGCCTCTGACTTTTGCACAGTATTTTAAATAAATATATTTTTTATTTTGTAGTTCAAATGCATTAATGTTATAAAAACATAGTCCTCTCAGTGGACTGTGTTTGGGCTTGTTTGGAGGTTCACGCAGAGTGGATTAAAGCTCCCTGAGAGGGATGTGTGTGTGTGTGTGTGTGGTGTGTGTTCATAAAAGATGAAGCAGTACACACACATACACATACACACAGGCTTACATGAGTGTGTTTATATGTTTACTCATGCATTACTGTATATTTCCAGCCAAATGTGAATATGCTGCTGCTGAGGGCAGGAATTTATTGCCGCTGCTAGATTACGCTCCAGCTGACGGGAGCCCGGAGTGCCGAAGTATCTTATTACGATTCGAGATGAAGAATAGTAAATAAAAAAGTGTCCCCTACTGAGGTGTTTGTAGCCCCCAATCCCCACAATCCTGCTTAAACGCGTTCCCCCTAACATGCACACGCACATCCAGTAAATATAAGTCATAAACATTGTGGATTTACAAGTCCTTCAGGTCCTCCAGTGTTAGGACGCGACAACAAACTCGACAAAGTCGTGATCGAGGCAACTTTCTCCATCTCTCTCCTCTTTAAAGAGGCTGAAATGCAGCCGCTCTGATCTTTATTTTCCTCACATTAACTTCCCCGCATTCATTTTCCTCTTCCCAACATGAACCCGTGTGAGAAAATCTGTATCTTTGGTCATATTACCGTTAGCCTTGATTTTGCGGGAAGAAGACGCAGCCAAGCTCGTTTAACCGCTTGCCTTTAGCGCCTCAGCCGCGGCTACAGTAATTAGCTTTGTGCCACAAACT